AGCCACCTCAGGTCTCTATTGATTGCTATTTGTATGGAGTATCTTTTCACTTTCAACCTATTTGTATCTTTGGATCTAAAGTGAATCTCCTGTAGACAGCATTTTAAAAATTCATTTTGTATTAAGTTAATTCTTATAAGGAAGTATTTCCTTCTGCTATTTTACTCTTTGTTTCTTATATGTCATATATTTTTGCCATTATTTTCTCCATTATTGTCATTTATGATTAATTTATTTTTTCTAGTGTGCCATTTTTGTTACTTTCTCATTTCTTTATGTATATGTACATTCATTTTTTCTTAGTGATTACCCTGGGGATGGTCATTAACATCTAACTTTGTAATAATCAAGTTTGAAATTATATCATCTTAGTTTCAATAGAAAAACTCTGCTTCTTTACAGGTTGTGCCCCAAGCTGAATGTTGTTAATGTCACAAGTTATGTCTTCATACATAGTGTGTCCGTTAACTTTATAGTTTTATAATTATTGTTTATGCATTTGTATTTTAAGTCATATAAGAAATAAAAGGAATTATCTAAGCACCAGAAGAATGATCCAATATAAATGAGAGTTGGAACTTACAAACAAGAGCAATATTAGAAGATCAGAAGTTCCACTCAGGAACTTCAGATGATAGAAAAACAATCTGAAAGAGTATGTCAAATAAGTCTACTTAAAATGATTAAAGATATGTATGGAAGACTAGAAAATGTAAGAAAAGGTGAAATACTAGGAAAAAGAACAGGCAGATTTAAAGAACCAAATGAAACTTCTTGAATAAGAGACACAACTTTTGTAATAACAATTCAGTGGAGGGATAAACAGCAAATTAGACATAGCTGAAGATAGAATTATTGAATTGGAAGATAGATCTGAGAAAATTACTCAGGATGAATCACAAAGAGGTAAAAAATAAGAGATAATGACAGACATAGAGAAGAGAAGTAGAAGGCCACACGTATGTCTAAAAGGACTTCTAGGAGAGACTAGAGATAATGAGGAAGATGAAATAATGAAAGAAATAATGTGGAGAAATTTAAGAAATGGTAAAAGACATGAATCCTAAACTTCAAGATTCATAAGAAATAATGGGAATTGTAAAAAAAAAAAAAGAAAGTCACAGCTAGTGAATTCCAGAAGGCCAAAAACCAAGAGGAGATCTTAACCTCCAAAGGGAAAAAAGATCAATGGGATGATAGTTATTCTTCCTGTAGATTTTTCAGCAGCAATGAAGAGCACAGAAAAGATGGTATAGTCTCCAAAGCACTGAGGGAAAATAACTGTTGATCTAGAATTCTGTATCCAGCTAAACTATCATTCAAAAGTTAAGTGAAATACAGACATTTTCAGAGAGTAAATGGAGAGAATTTATCATTCATAAAATCTCACTGAAAGAATTACCAATGAATATACTTTATAAAGAAGAAAATCAAGTCTAGAGTAGTAGAATGGGTTCTAGACCACGGTTCCCTACCTTTTTTGCACCAGGGACCAGTTCTGTGGAAGATAATTTTTCCACGGACCAGGGAGGGGGGATGGTTCAAGCGGTAATGCGAGCTATGGGGGATGGTTCAGGTGGTAATGCAAGTGATGGTTCAGGCGGTAATGCAAGCAATGGGGGGATGGTTCAGGTGGTAATGTGAGTGATGGGGAGCAATGGGGAGCAACGGGGAGCAGCAGATGATGCTGTGCTTGCTCACCCACTGCTCACTTCCTGCTGTGAGGCCCAGCTCCTAACAGGCTGTGGACTGGTACTGGTTTGTGACCCGGGGATTGGGGACCTCTGTTGTAGAGTAATGTGATGTCAAGCAAATAGAGTAAGTTAATAAAAAGCAACATCTGATTCCCAAGGCCAAGGATTTGATTACACTAATGGTGACTGGCCTGCTAGAAGTTGTAGACTGCATTAACATATTAATGTTCCTGTGACTCAGGGGTATTGCCTGTTCTTGGTGACATGGTATAAGAAATTCTCCCTGAAAATACCAATGCTGTGATATGCCAGCCACAAATTATGCCTCTCTTTGTTAGGGTAATTATGAGATCACAGGTGCTAAGTAGATGCCAGAGCCTGAACTGTAACATATACCAGTGTGAAAATTATTGAACTGGGAGCCTTCAGATTCTGAGAACTAACCTGTTCCCTTCTTTGTACATCTTCTGAGTGTGAAGTTCTCTGTGTTGAGAAAGCTAGGAATAGGACTGGCTTGTGGCCAAGGCATCATGGTTTTGAGATCCAGAAGGTGGGCCCTCATCCAATTCTAGAAATTTGATTGTCTCGTCTTCCTCCCTGTCCCCAGAGGCCACACTGATATTTGCCAAGGAGCATCCAGCATGCAGGGAAGTACAGGCTGAGGTGGGGGTGAACACCATGCTAAGCTGTGAGGTAGCCCTGGCCCAGACAGAGGTGATATGGTTCAAGGAGGGAAAGAAACTGAGTTCAAGCTCAAAAGTGTGTGTGGAGGCCAAGGAAGGGCTGCACCCCGAGGCTGGTGGCGCATCAGGTAGGCAAGGTAGATGCTGGGTGAATACAGCTGAGAGGCCAGGGGCTGAAAGATCTCCTTCCACCTCAGCATCACAGGTGGGTTCCTTGAGGTCCTTCTTATGTTCCTCAGCTTAATTATTAGGGAGTAGGGGTGTGTGGTCATGCCACCTAAAAGTGTGTTTTCTCACAAAACTTACCACATAGCAGCTAGCGGGTATTAATTACATGCCAAGGGCCAGATTTTATGAAGTGCTTCTTGTCTTTTTACTTGTCTAAACTTCACAACCACCTCAGGAAGAGGAATTCTGATTATTCCCATTTTAAGATAAGGCACAAGGAAATTCCATAACTTGCCAAAGTTCACATAGCCAGAGAATTACAGAGCCAGGATTTAGGCCCAATATTCTGAGGGCTATTTTTTCTGGTTATCAAATTACAGTTTAACAATCCCCTGCCCATATTTAAAAAAATTTTTTAAAGAGACTATTCCACTGTCTTCCAGATTCCATGTATTTTTTTGGAATATCTACTGTCATATATATTATGTTCCCTCAAGGGTCATTTTTTTCTTTTCCTGTTGTTTTTAAGGTATTGTTTTTGATTTTGATTTTCAGCAGTTTACATTGATGAACCTAGGTGTGATTTTCTTTGTATTCATCCTGGTTAGGGTTGCAGAGCATTTTGAGTCTGTGGAGTTTTGTCTTTCCTCAACCATAGAGTGTGGTTTCTCACATGTCTCATATGTATCTCTCTTTCTCTCCACCTCTTAATTTTTTTTCTCTCTCTGCTTTAGTCTGGATATTTTCTTTAGATCTGTCTTCCAATCCACTAATTTTCTATTCTTCTATATCTAATCTGTTGTCAAACCCATTTATAGTGTGTTTACTTTCAGTTATTGTATTTTCCAGTTTCATAATTTCCATTTGTTTAATTTCTTATAGATTCTAGACTCTGTAGTAAAATTTTTGTATTTGATATATTTTCTTTTCTTTCACATTAAAGAAATATTATCATGGTTATATCCTGGTCTGATCATCTGATATTGCTTTTTTTTGGATTTCTATTCACTCTTGTCCTTGGCATGCCAGTGAATTTTCAGTTGACTGTCAGACATCGTTTGAGAAAACTTTTTGAATGTGGATGATGTTATCTCACTTCAGACAGAGGATCAGTATTTCCTTTGCTAGGGAGGGAGAGAACAACTAAGAACTTTAGTCTATTCAAGGACTGCACTCACTCAAGCCTGCATTACAGTTTTGATCAGGGTCATCTATCTCTGGTTTGCCCCCATTCCTGGGCATAGTCCTCCAAGGATTTCTACAGAGACTTGGGGTATGGAGGGGGGTCTCTTTTCAGGCAGACACTCAACTCTAATCTTTGTCTCTCTGGTAATGCAAGGTGCTAAAAAGTCTGCTATAGTTTTCAGAGGTTTTCTGCTTGGCTTCGTAGTCTCCTGGGCCATGCAGTTGTGGAGCTCACCAAACATCTTGAGGGGAATGTGGCTGAGTGTGGGGCTCAATTCTACAAGATCTCTTTTTCCTGGAGGCTTGGCTCCTCAATCTCTAACTTTATCTTTCTGCTTACACAAGGTGTACATAGCCTGACCAGGTTTCCTGTTTCATAGTAGCAGCCCTATGCCTTTTAGTGTCATGCTGTACTAAGGAACAGCAGTGTCCAGAGGAGAAAATCAGATGCCCAGTGTGGTTCCAAAAGTGCAGTTCCCTTTTACCTTCCTCACTCACTTCACATCTATCCTTCTAGGAGAGCCCTGGCCCTAGCTCTCATCTCCGTTACAATGACTCCCCTCAGCTTTCATCAAAGCTGCCTCCCTTTTATCATTTAGCACTTCACCTAAACATTACTCCTTACCAAGATTTTCTCTGACCACCAAATCTAAGTCACTGTCAGTCCCTTCTCTCTAGCACATCACTCTTATTTCATCACAGCATTGACCGTAGCATTAAATCATTGTCATGTTCGTATGTTTGTTTGTTTTTCCTCAGTAGAAGGTAAGATCTGTAAGAACAGAGACTGTGTTACTCACGTTTCCAGCTATGGTATAGCATTCCCAGCACCACCATAGTGCCTGCAGATAATGGGCCCTCCACTGACATTAGTTGCATCAGTGATTGAATGAATGACTGAATGAATGAATGCATATACAGCATGGACTCTCTGAGATCCTATATGTATTTATAGATATAGGGGATACAAGTGCACACAACCCAACCTGCCTGCCAGAGGTGACTGTCACATGGGAAAGACAATGAACTAGCTGTGACAGATGCTAGAATAACTTTGGCCACTTTCCTCTAGCCTTAGGAATTGACCTTGTGTCAGAACATCACCAAAATGTACACTTGAGATATTTGTTTGTAAACACAACTCTACACCTTCCTGGGCACATGGCATCACTGGCTCCAAGGAGAAAATTTACTGAACTCTTAAGTTTTGGTCTCACAGGCTGGTATCAGCTTTGTGTCTCTGACACTGTGTATCCCTTTCTGTGCCCAGAGTCCTCTGCGGTGTTTATCAAGGGACAGCCAGCACATAAAGAGGTGCAGGCCATGGTGGGGGCCAGCACCACACTGAGCTGCGAGGTGGCCCAGGCCCAGACGGAGGTGATGTGGTACAAGAACAGGAAGAAGCTGAATTCGAGCTCAAAAGTGCATGTGGAGGCCAAGGGCTGCACCCGGAGGCTGGTGGTGCAGCAGGTGGGCAAGGCAGACGCCGGGGAGTACAGCTGCGAGGCCGGGGGCCAGAAGGTCTCCTTCCACCTGGATGTCACAGGTCAGTCCTTGGAGGTAGTAACTTAGCCTTGTGTGGAGGTGATGGGACTGGCTTGCATCCCCCAACAGACCCGATGATCTTCCCACTAGACTTCATCTCTTTTAGCCTTCCGTCCTCCCACCTCCCATTTTCATACCCATGGCTGGACCAAGGGAGGCTGGATGGGTAGGCTGTGAACAGAAGGGATAATGGTGTTCCTATAAACCCTGAGTGGTGTTTCCACACAGTAATGCACAGTCTTCAGTTCCCAGCATCTGCCCAGAACCTTCTGGGTATTCCTTGGTGTCTGGGACTCTGGTTCTGTCTTGCACTTGGGGTCTGAGGTAGACCAGATGTCTTTTAACTGTGGGTATGTGAATTTGCTCCTCCTGGATGTCCTGACAGCTCCTAGACGCCGTCACCTAGCAACGCATGTGGGTTCACACTAGGGAGAGATGTTTGAATTTCATTAAGCCAGGACAAGGGGAAATTTCTGCCACACAGTCATACTTGGATTTATCTCAAGACTGAACTATGGATTATCAAAGTTTTAGGTGTTCTGAACACTCTTTCTTCCTTGCACATGGATATAGAAGTTATCTGTGCATCTACCTGTAACAAAATCTAGATCCATTTTTCTTGCAATATGTGTGCAGAGTAAGCAGAGACCAGAGGGTTGGTTGATATGTGCCTGAGACATGCACATGTGAGGTCTGGAATCCTCTGTTCAAAGCAGATACTGATTTCCTTTTGTTTTCTGTTAGAACATTTTATGTCAGAATTCCCCATGGAGTCTGATTTATAGATTTAGACTTGGAGAGGAATAGTAGCTTCTCCTACACCAACATGTATATATCTTTTAAGAATGGTATTTTAGAAGAATATGACAATATTTTTTCATGGCAATAAGTGTGAAAGTTTTGACAAATTGATCAGATTCTTAGAAAACTATATAAAAAGTGACACAAGAAACATTCAACAACTCAAGTAGTCCTATAATCTTTTTTTTTTTTTTGCAGTACGTGGGCCTCTCACTGTTGTGGCCTCTCCCGTTGTGGAGCACAGGCTCCGGACACGCAGGCTCAGCGGCCATGGCTCACGGGCCCAGCTGCTCCGCAGCATGTGGGATCTTCCCAGACCGGGGCACGAACCCATGTCCCCTGTATCGGCAGGCGGACTCTTAACCACTGCGCCACCAGGGAAGCCCAGTCCTATAACCTTTTAAATAATTGGAACCATAATGATAAATCTTCTCATAGAGAAAGATCTAAGCCCAGTAGTTCCACTGGTAAATTATATGAAATACTTTGGAAAGAAAATCCATGTTCATGGATATTCTTCTAGAAAATAGAAAAAGGAGATAGTCTCTGATTTGTTTCATGTAGATAGCATAACATTGATACAAATATCTGACAAAAAATTGTAAGAATTAAAATTACAGACCAACCTATTATGGATATCAAGGCCAACATCTGAAACAAAATATTATCAAAATAAATTTAACAATATATTAAGAGGAAAATTGGTAATACACTGTGATAAAAGTCATAGTCCAGAAATGCAAGGCTGTTCAAACACTAGAAACACTAGCAAAGCAATCTGTTCATGACATGCAGAATAAAGTATTTGGTAAGATTTGGCATTATAAATACAGAAGAAAAGTTTAATAAAGTTGGCATCAATTCATGACATAAAATTCTTAACGAATTATAAATAAAACAGTTCGTAATCTGATAAATGACGCTGCAGACAAACCAGCTAATTTGCACACAAAAAAGTGAAAGTTTGAAAGTTTGTCTGTGAGATAGCGAACCAGACAAGGAAGCCAACTGTTACTGCTTTTAACCAACATTGTACAACAGAGATAGGAGGAAAAGAAAGCAAAAGACAGAAACGTGTGAAGAAACAAAAGTTAAATTCATGGATAATATGATTAATCCAAAGGATAAATTATGAGACTTAATAAGATAGCTGAGAATGATTACCATGTAAAAAAATCAATATGAAGAAAACACTTCTACGGCTACATAGTAGCAACAAACATCTGGAAAATGAAAATTTTAAAAGAGTTACAATAGCATCAAAAGAATCATTTCCTAATTCCAAGTCTAATAAAGGGTGGTGAGAGGCTCTGTGTGTGGGGGGGAATTATTAAAAATGTTTTGAGAGACAGTCAAGAAGTTCTAAATAGTTGGGTAGAAATCCAGGGAAGAATAAAAAATGTTCAATACCAATTAAAATCCAAACAAATGTTTGTTTAGTGGGGATTTTGGAAATTCAGAAGTAAATTGCTAAGACCATGTACAGTCAATACACTATTGAAGAAGAGCAAAGAGTGAGTTATTTGCTATACCAATATCAAGATTGTTATAAAGCTACAGTAATGAATACAATAGTGTCTCATTGCAAGGATAGATACACAGACCAAAGGACCAGAGTAGTGATCTCCAACACAAATCTGCACATGAATGGATGCCCACATTCCCCTGCTCCTTTTTTTTAAAAAAAATGTGGAATCATGCAAGGAGTAGAGACAACATGGTTTTAATAAATGACACTTAAACCATTTAACCATATAGAAAAACGATTAGGCCAGTAATTCATATCCCCCATGGTCAACTCATGTTGGGTTAAACACCACAGAATAGAAGGGAAAATCATAAAACCCTTAGATGATAACATAGATGGTTTTAATTACCTCAGACTAAAGAATGATTTCTTTCTTTTTTAAAATAAATAATTAAGAAAAATTTTATTTATTATTTTTGTCTTCGTTGCTCCATGCGGGCTTTCTCTAGTTGCGGCGAGCTGGGGCTACTCTTCACTGTGGTGTGCAGGCTTCTCACTGCGGTGGCTTCTCTTGTTGTTTAGCATGGGCTCTAGGTGTGCAGGCTTCAGTAGTTGTGACTCGCAGGCTCAGCAGTTGTGGTGCACGGGCTTAGTTGCTCTGTGGCATGTGGGGTCTTCCCGGACCAGGGCTCGAACCTGTGTCCCCTGCATTGGCAGGTGGATTCTTAACCACTGTGCCACCAAGGAAGTCCCAAAGAATGACTTCGTAAAATACAAGTGCACTAATCATAATGAAAACAATTTGACATATTTGACTACCTTAAAACTAAATATGTATTGATAGATTCATCAGAAGATAGCATGAAGTACTGAAAAGGCAAACCACACAGATGTGGAAGACATTTAGAACACACGCACTTGTCAGTGCCTAGCATTCGTATGTATAAAAATGTCCTTAAAGTGAACATACAAATGGCAGACAGTGCTGTTGAAAATAGGGCAAAAACGTTGGACAGTGACACCACAGAAGAGCAAACACTGATGACCAAAAACATCAGAAATGGGTCTTTATTTTGAATCATCACAAAAAATGCAAAAGAGTGCCACAGGAGGTACATTTCACTCCCACCAGACTGCTGACAATGAGGGTAGGTGAGGGTAGCACTTCAGCAAACCTCATTCACTGCAGATGAGAACATGCCCTGCACTTTCCTGTGGGAAAAGACTCTGGCCTCATCTAGGCGGGATGAGGAACGCACCCACAATGACCCCACAGCTTCTGTCCTAGAAGAATTGTGCAAAGAGGAAGTTTATCAGAGTATCCCCATCAGAGGCTTGTACCAAGTAACAATACGAAAAACTTAAATTGTACTAGCAATTCCCACAACACAGAAAAGTGAACTCATGGTGGGGTAGAAACCCAGTGTAAAGGTAAAAACAAAAAACTCCACCGATGATACCGTGGTTTCTTTAAAGACTTAGGTAAGGAAACATTTCTAAATAGAACACAAATGCTCTAAACTGAAAGGGCTGAAATGGACATCGCTGAAACTATTGAAGGGAAAAATTTTGATTCATCAGAGGACTTGATCACACAGTGAAAATGTGAGTCCCACAGTTAGGAATAACCTAGAAAGCTAGCAATCTTTCCTTCTCTAGTATTTCAATGCATAAAGAGTGCCTAGAGATGGAGAAAACAGAGAGCCTACTATTGGTGAGTGGGCAAAATTTGAATAGTGTCACCAGGAAGAACAAAAGAGTAATGGGGACCCCAGTCATTTGGGGAAAGGAGCTCAGCTTCTTTATTCTTCAGACAATGGAAAGGAAAGCCATGGGGAGGTGCCAGCACTCCCCCGAGATTGCCACAAGTTGACCATACTAAGTGTAGGCCAGGGCACTGAACCTCACTGATTTCCATGGAGTGCAGATGCAAAGTTCCTTGCTTAGGTGTATGGAGAAGACTGCGGCCCCACCTGGGAAGGATTGGGAACATTTGCATGTGATCCCACTGATGCCATGAGCAGGGGAGAAGTCTCTTCCAAAGGCGCACCTTCCCCCCACACCCCCACTCCCTGGACCAGCTCACGCGGATGCAGGGGGAATTCATCACTTGTTTTACTTGTCGCTGAGAAAGGCAGGGGGACTTCTGCAAGAGCACACGGCTGGTGCAGAGCCTGGAGGAGTCCCCAGCTTGGACTCCGCCCCACTTCCACACCCCTCACACCCGCCTGGCCCTCGGCTCCCCACTCACGTCTCCTTTGCCCGGGGCTGCCTTCCTGACTGAGATGGTGTCCTTGACCCGTGTATCCCTCCCTGTCCCCAGAGCCCAAGGTGGTGTTTGCCAAGGAGCAGCCGGAACGCACTGAAGTGCAGGCCGTGGCGGGGGCCAGTGCCACGCTGAGCTGCGAGGTGGCCCAGGCCCAGACGGAGGTGACGTGGTACAAGGATGGAAAGAAGCTGAGTTCGAGCTCGAAAGTGCATGTGGAGGCCACGGGCCAAGGGCGGCGGCTGGTGGTGCAGCAGGCGGGCAAGGCAGACGCCGGGGAGTACAGCTGCGAGGCCAGGGGCCAGAGGGTCTCCTTCCACCTGGATGTCACAGGTCAGTCCTGGAGGAGGATACTAAACTAGCCTATATGGAGGTGATGAGGGGACAGTCTTGCGGCCTCCACAGACGGGTGTTCACTTGCCTGTAGCCTCCCAGTTTTCCACGTCCCACATTTATAGCCATTTTTGCCCGGGGGAGAATGGATGGAGACTGTGGGCGTGGAAGGAAGAGGGGCCATTGGTGTCCACCTGTTTCCATGCGGTAAGGCCCAGTCACAGTGTCTTAGCACCTGCCCAGAGCCTTCCTGTTTTTCCTGGTATCGGGACCCTGGCTCTCCCTAATGCTTGGGGTCTGAGGTAGGCCTGGGGATATGTGACTTTCCTCCCATGGTACGTCTTTCCTGACACCTACCGCATGGCTCATGCCAGGTCTTGGATTGCCAGATGGGGTTTCAATTTCATTGATCGCAGATTAGTGGAGATGTTGGCCACCAAGTCCTGCTTGGAATTATCTTAGGAGTGAACTTTGGATGATCAGATTTGAGGTTGCTGGGACGCCCTTCCTTAAAATTTTCTGGATAGGGAAGCTCCGGTTGCCTGTAGGCAGCAGAAGATAGGCCAAGTTTGTTGTCATGATCATGCAAAGGGAGGAAGAAAGGAGGATTGGAATAGAGTCCCCTGTGCTGTTTAAGGTGATCTTCTTCAATTCAATAGGATTTTGCCTTTGTCTTCAAACAGTTTGGATGTTGCGGGTCAGTATTCCCCGTGGCATTTGTGAAAGAGTTAAATGGGCACAATTGTATCATGTTTGTAATTCCAGGTCTGATAAAAGTTGCTACCATACTATGTGGGGAAATTAGTACATATTCTTGAGAGAGAGTCAGAGGTTTCCATCGACGGACAGTAATCTGAGGAGAAAAATCAAAGATTCTGATTAACAATGAAAATCGAAGCAAATTTGTGTTTTGGGTGGTCTGATGGTAGAATAGCAGGCAGATTCCAAAGACAAGGTACAGCCAATGTGCTATTTGCTTGCAGAAGCACGGTGGGAGCCCTTCCTGGGAGCCATAGTCAAGAATTATTGTGAGGCTGTATAGTTTTCAAGATAAGGGGATCCCAGTGCGGTGATATTTACCACATCAGAGGAACGTAGTAGTGAGGTCAGCAAGAGCTCCTTGCAGCAGTGGTTTCCTGCACCACCGCGGACAAATCCCCCCTCCGCCCGTCTCCCAGCCCCGTCCCCGCCATCACAATTTCATCTGTTGCTGTGCTGCGTGCTCGAGAAGTCGAGGAGGGATGTTGTCTTCATAAATAGTGCTTG